AGGGGGTAGATGACCCCCAACAGAAAAATAACCTTAAACAAACATGTAAAGGACCTCAAAATAAGACTTTTTTCAGTTTATGACAAATCCCAAATATGCCTGAAAATAGTGCTAAGATATGGAGCAAAACGCCTGGGCTCTGTTTTGGAAGACGATGGATGCATGCATGCTCGAGTCGCCTTGTCGGGAAATCCATCGCGATGCCTCGTCTCGCCTTTGTGTGCAATTGATTTCAGAAACTTGCAAGAAGCTGCAAGAGGCTGAAACTCTACTCTGGGAAGTTGTGGGAGGGTTGCCGACTAGCCAATGGCATTGGAGACCACCTGCTAACCACCCTTTGTGGTGGAGACCAAAAAAGGTGGTCGGCCTGCCAGAAAACCTAGTCGGCCGACCATTTTCTGCCCCTGGATTCTGGTTTTCTGTAACACAAAGCAATAGGGAGGCATGGCAAGGTATTTTCAACAAATGAGGATTTGATTGTGCAACTAGGTGGAATTCAACATACTTGATGCTTCAAACTGCCTTATTGTATAAGGATGTTTTTTCTCGGTTGAAAAATAGAGAGCCCCAATATAAGGCCGTGCTAAGTAAAGAAGAATGCAAGTTTGCTAGAGAGATCAGTGGGAGGTTTAAGATATTTTTTTTTTCTATCACAGAGTTATTTTCTGGTACTAAGTATCGTACAGCCAATGTTTGTTTCCTAGCTTTATATAAGATTAAGATGACACTGTCTCAAATGCTCTCTAGTGAAATTGAAGTGATTAGAACAATGGCAGCAAAAATGATGGAAAAATTTGATAAATATTGGTTAGTGTGTAATGGCCCTAAAATGCAAGTCATGATTATATTAATTGAATTATGTGCTAATTAATGATTATATGATTTATTTGTGCATATCTGTCCAAATTGGGAAATTATCTGTTGTGTGATTATGGCCTTGCAACTGAAATTGACGGCCTAAATGGATTCAGAAACCGAAATGGTGTACATAGATGAGTTGATTGGAATTTTTAGAACTATTTGGGGAGTTTAATTAAAAATTTATTCAATTTGATTCGTTAGGTGGTGTTTGGATGTAATAAGCCATCCTAGTGTCTATATATATATATATGTTATAAGCCAATGTATTGAGCTCATACTCAGCCACATGTTTTTTTTTTGACCAAAAATATCTTGCTAGAGAGAGAGAGAGAGAGAGAGAGAGAGTTACAACTTAACAAGAAGAAGAACTAGAAGAAGCTTGAAGTTTGTTTTGAATTCTCATAAATCATCATCAAATAAGGTAAACATTTCTTTCCAATTTCTTGAAATTAAAGCCTCTCTACTCAGCATCTTCCTATATACAAGTTTAATTGAGTTGAATTCACAAGTATTAGGAGTTTTGTTCATATTTCTTGGAGTTTAAGGCATACAAGTCTATTCATGGAAGAATTGAATTAATTACCTTATAACTTCACCATGCATGCATGATTTCAGGAACAACATTTGTTCTTGTACATTTCAATTCATGCATGAGTCTTCAAAATCGAAAGGAAATTTCATGGGATTTGTAGATTTAAAGTTCAATCTTTTATGTTTATGTATATATAATTGATTTCAAAGGTTTGATTTGTTTTACATCCAAAATTGAAGGAATTGGTGCAAATTATTGATGTGAATGGCGTAATTTTTTAGACTGCATGATCATACACTTGGTTTCTTCCATGAATTTCCAAAATCGAAGAGAAATGCCATGGGTGTAGCTTGACTTTTCGTACCCCCTCTCGGAAGACAAATAAGCCCTACAGTATCGGACTCCAACGCTTCTGAATCTGATCTCACAAGTGCAATGTGAAATAGATAAACACCAAAGAGTCCAAATGTGAAATAGATAAACACCAAAGAGTCAAAATCCGGCAAATCTTTTGGAAAATCAATTTTGAATCAAATTGCCAAAAATGAACTGCTTTGCCAGATACAGAATCGCCACCTAAATATTTTTGGAAAATCTAGGAAACCTATGACTCGTGTCAAAAGGTCACGTGTCCGTCATCACCAAGATTGTCTCGGCTCGGGAACTTAGGTACGAGAGGGGAAGGTCATGAATTGAGTAACCCCGCTCACTCGATCGAAGATCGGCCTTTACTAATCATGATGTGTTTCTTATCTACATTATATACTCTTGTTCTGGTTATTAGACTAACATTACTTGATGCGCAAACACACACGTATAAACTAAATTGCAAGAATTGGAACATTTCGATTCATGTTTGTTTTCGAAAAGAGTTTTGAATATGTACCACTTAAAAAAGTGATCACATAAGAACATTACTTAAATTATTCCAATTTCAAGCAATTAGCCTTCATATACAGGCATTCAAGCAATTTTATCAATTAAGCATTTAGCTTCATGGCAAACATGCTAAACATGGTAACAATCACACACATGCGATATGCTAAAGCGAATAAAGGCTCACCTAGTACTCCAAACTAAAAAGATGATAGGGTTAGAATAATGTATGATCCCAACTATGCAATATGACTAATGCAACACACACGATATGCAATTATTAGGCTCGGCTACTAATATGGCGTATTAATCAATTTGATAGCATGCGGTTTAAGCACATTTTTCAAAGAAGTATTTAAACGACAATGCAAGTTAGAATGATGAACCGAGTCTCGGTGCATGCAATACAAGTGGATGCAAACATGAAGTACGCTTACAAAACATGATGCTTTTAAACTAACCAACATAAGCAAGTAAATAAAAAGGAGAAAGACGTGGGGTTGGAAGACATACACGTTATTACAACATCGCACTCTTACAAAGGAGAGTTCGAATGAATAAACTAGCTAAGCTAATTATATGTTGCAAAAGTTGTAAATTATATGACGATTTGCCCCGCCCCATGTCAACCCAGTATAATTCAAGTTTCTTAGTATATTTCTTTTGTTTCTCTGTGTTGCATGGTGGGTTTGAATTTTGTTATTTTTATTTTTCAGAGTAATGCTTGATATGTTGGAACAAAGTGTCACTAGTTTTTGTTTTCAATGATTATCGTTGCAAGAAGGGCAATTACATGGAGGATCAGCTAAGTGCATTGCCAAATGAAATTATCATTGCCATCTTGACAATGAAAGAAGCAGCAAGAACTAGTGTGCTTTCCCTTAAATGGAAAAATTTGTGGAAGTTTTTCACGGGTAGTTTGAATTTTGATGCTTCCAAGACAAAGGCCAGCATGAGACAAGAAATAGAAACAATGTCACTTGAAACTGAAAGGACTAAGTATGTAAGTTGAGTAAACAAAGTCTTCAATTTGGATCAGGGCCAAAATATAGAAAAGTTTAGAGCGTGCTTTGATTTGGATAAGAATTTTGCATGTGCCATTGATAGATGAATTAACTTTGCGAAAGAAAAAAGAGTTCAAAAGCTTGAGTTCGACCTGAGAGGATATTTTGACTATTCTCAGTTTGAGGATTCATGCACTTTTCCATTAAGCCCATTTGGTGTTCTAAGCTTTAATACCTTGACTTCCCTCTGCTCGAAATTGGTAGATTTGACAGAAGACGTTCTTGCACATTTCTTATCTAATTGTCCGTTGATTGAAGAGTTGTCTTTGATGCATTCACGATCTTTGGTTAATCTAAAAATAGATGGTCCTCAGAAGTTGAAGTACTTGGAGCTTAGGTACTGTTTCAGTTTACAAAATCTTGAGATTTTGGCTACAAATCTCATATCATTTAAATACCATGGGCCATACATGATCAACAATCCTGTTAAGAATGTTCCCCTGCTGTCTGAAGTATCCATTGGGGGTTGTTACTGTACGGATTTAGTTTGTTTAACATTTTACTGTTTCTCAGGTGTGCTCTCTCAGCTGGAGACACTTGTACTGGACCTGGATTCTCTGGTTAGTTTGCATAACCATTGTGTGGTAGTTTTGTTTTTTAGTCCTTTATTCTCATTATTATATATGCACATGAAAGACCCACATATCTGGGGCAGCAATAATAAGTGTGTTGTCAAACATTTTTTAGGTTTCCCAGAGAAGTCACCTCATCCCCAACATATTTCCAGAATTTTGTAATCTTAAGCGGTTGGAATTGTAAGCTGTTGCATATGAAGACCAAAGCATCCCATTCCGCACTTCCTTGATAGATGCATCTCCTTGCTTGTGTAAGTTTGTGGTGAAGGTGAATCTTCTTAATCAAAATGGCTTTTCATTTAAGAACACTTGGATTATTGTTTATTTGGTCAAATGATGCAAATTACAATGTTTGTTGTGTTCATATTGAACATGTTTTAGTTCCCATTCATTTGTGATCAGCCTTGTAATTTGACTAGGTAATCACACAGTTATTATATTATAACTAGTGGTTGACCTATGCAATGCACGTGATAAAATTAATATTTTTAATAAATTTATGATAATATTATTATGAATCACGACATAAATATATGTTCATATGTATAAATTATTTTGATGGTTTATTAGCTTTGATAGGCTTATTACTACCATGGTTATCAGAATCCCGATCCGGATCTTACGATCCTACGATCTTACGATCCATTTAAGTACAATCGATCCGGATCGTGTAAAAATCTCCTTATAGGTAGGATCTTTTGATCCTGGTAGTGGGATCTTATAGGATCATGGAATCCCGATCCGAATCCGATCCTATCTGATCCAATTTACAAGCTTTATTTTGTATTGTATGACATACTTTATTGTAAATTTTATGTTTATTGTCTAAATAAACATTTACGTGGTCAAAAGAAATGATAAAAATTAAGTCGTATTGAATCAAATAAACTATGAAAAACAAACTAGGAAACAAACATTCAAATATTGCGGTAATTTAAGAAAATTAAATAGTCGGAAAAACAAACTTAGCTTTAGCGGAGTCTAACGAGGGTAAGATGATTGCAACTTTATTCCAATTTTTATAGAGATTATTTTTGTGACTTGAATTCGCTCTACCAGGGATGCTAACGACAAATCTTATCATTCGGTTAAGCTACTCTTTTGAGTTCTTAATCTATTTTCATATCCAACTTAATTAAATATTTTTTCTTCGCTTTTTATGCATTATTGTAGATTGTGAATTATTTTGTTATAGAATTCTTCTTCTTCTTCACCTTCTTTTTTGATAAAATACAAAACTTTTACCATCGAGTTTTTTATTGTATATTATTATATGTACATTTTACATAGAGTATTATATTTTTCACAATATTTTCACTTCTTTTTAATAAAATATAGGCTCATTTTGTGTATACTTTATAATAAATATTTATTTAAATTAAATTATTATGTAATTTGTCTTTTTCGGTAGGATCTTACGATCCGATTCTACGATCCGATCCTATAAACACCTCCAACGATCCAACATAGGATCCTGATTTTAACAACCTTGATTACTACTATATACTCATGATCGTTATGTTTATTTGTTCCTTTTTTATTTAAAAACTAACTATATTAAACCTCATTAGGTTAAGTAGTGGTAAGTTAACATAATTTCTTAAAATTCTTGTCTATCCTTATTTGTTTTACCAGTAAGAGTTATTTTCTTATTTTACAATGTTTAAATTAAATATCGTTAGGTTAAGTGGTGTCATGTTAATTTAAAATTATAAAATACATGCCAATCCTTATTTATTTTACCAATTTTAAAAACTGACAATAACATTTATGGTCATTGCACATGTAGGAGATAAACAATTCAATGATTGTAAATTTTTCTTTACGCAATTAGAGTCCACTTTTTATTGATATCTTATATTTGTTATTAAAATGTTACAAAAGTACATAGTAATTTAACACAAACATGGTTCTTTCTAGATAAAAATTCTTAAGATATAAAAAAAGTTGATGTACTCATGAAATTGTAAAAAGAGGGGGCCAATCTTTGTATACTCATGATGTGGCATTTTGAAAATGTAAGTATTTAGAGTGGCATGTAAGTGCCGATTAGTTGAGAGTAAATGATTTGGGTTAAACTTTACCTTTATCACTGTACATTAGACGAGGTTAAGAAAGAAAGAAAGAAAGAAAGAAGTAATTTTTTATTATTAGGTATATGTTATCTCAAAGCCTTTTAGGTAAAGGGTGACATATGGATGGGTTGGGTTGGGTTGGGTGGGGTTAGGTGAAGATGGGTTTTGTGGTTAAATGGATTAACCCTGAACCTGCCCAATTAGCAAACAAGTTATACTTGGACAGATTTAGCTGTACACAGGTCGGGCACATGGACCCATTTTGATCAGTTTAATTACTTATCTCTGCCAAGAACCATTTTTAGCTGACCATTTCATGAGTTAACTTTTTTGGATATTTTGTTGGATCCAATCCATTTTCGTGGCCCAACCCATTGGCCAAGATTTGTTTTCCCATTCCTTGGAACAATTGTTCTAGTGGCTAGCCTGTTGAACACTATAATTACAAGTGGGTGGTTTAATTAAAAATTCCTAGTGAACAAAATAGCAGAAACTTTTTGTCTTGTTCTTGGTCTTAAACATTTAAATAAATAAAAAGTATTACTGCTGTAAGGTCAACCTTGTTTTTGTTTTAAGCAATATGCGGCCCAAAGTTCAATTGTTTCACTCATGTGATGAACCAAATGGACACTGTTTCACTCATGTGGTGTTCTCACTGGCTAAGACCCATGGTGTGTTCCTAAATGTCCATCATAAAGATGCTGAAAAAACAAATAGAATCCAATTATTTATTTGTTATTTATATTGTTTTATACATCAGTTGGGGTTAGATGTTAGTTATTAAGGGAAGGGGGAACCACAAAGAGTGTCAAACTCTTCTCCATAAGATTTGAATTCAAAGCCTCACACTGCAAAGTGGTGCTGCACAATCACTAGGCCAAAGGCCCTTGTTAAATAGAAACTAATTTAGTGCATTGATTTCTTCTTTTTGGTAATTTCATGTTAAATAATTTGGTTTTGATGTAGGATCAAGTGCTTTGGAATCACTATAATACTAGATCTAATACTAAACTCATGTAGGGAAGATTAAGAAACTTACAGAAATGCTTGTCGCAGCTGGGGTTTATGGCTGATTAAGTAATGAAAAGTTAGGTGGCTTACTGAGTTAAAATCAATACTACAATTGGTTTGATTTCAAACCGTGAGCTTGTTGGATTTCGTACTATTTTATGTGTTTGGGGTTGCATTCAAAATGGGGGTTGCATTCAAAATGTCAAAAGGTCGGGGAAATTTGTATTCTTGGAAGATTGAAACTCTTTTTTATTTTTTTTTGGACATGAAACTTCTGCTAGGAAGCAATAAGGACAATAGGAAAGAGTTTTGTTTTATTGGTGTTTTAAGCATTTAATAGGGGCTCTTTTTGAAAGCTTTGATGATTTAACTCCTAAAAAATAGCCTGGCTTTATGAGTAAGGAGAAGGATTCAGAGGAACAAGATGGAGAATATTTTAGGTTTTAATTTGAGTTCATTCCTTCAGAACTGCACCTGAAGCAAGGTTGCCATACATTATACAAAGTTTCAAATTTTCTCTAAAAAAATTTGGAAATCAATTCTATTGATTAGACTTATCGACATGCATGTCCCATATGTAGGTTGTTGGGTTCTAATTCAACTTGGTCTAAAACTTCAAAAATAGAAACTGAGGTGCTTTGACTGGTTGAAAAAATCTAGATCGTACAAATTCTTCATAAAACCATAACTTAGCATACAATACAACCTATGGACCAAAACCATAGCCCCCCGTCAAGTGAATTTTGAAAATTAACAAATAATACCGAATATTTAATCTAAGAAAGGCAAAGTTTTTAAAGGTGAATGCGTAATGTGAGGTGTTTTACCCCTTCATGAGGCGAGGCGTAAGCCTTAAGGCATTGAGGCGTAAGCATTTCAAATTTCAAATTTTTATATTTAGTAAATATTTTAAAACAATAAATTAATACATCAAAATTAAATATAAAGGTGTAAATACTTTTATGCTCAAGGCTCATTGCAGAGAATGAAGCTTTGCTTTATTGAAAGTGAAATTGGTATTCTTATTTTTGGTGATTGAGCTTCTCACTGAGCATTAACTTTGTGTTTTTTCTTGATTAGTCATTTACTTAATTTTTCCTATAGAATATAGTTGTAAAATGGGTTCTTTTTTATTTTTTATGTTTAAACCATCTACTAGAGTAAGTTTAAAAAGACCCTAGGACAAACTCTTCATATGCGTACTCCTTACATGCTTATACGTAAAAGGTGTACAAGATGCACCTAAAACGCATGTCTCAGACTATGTGCACAAGCCTTTAGGGAATAAAACCTAAAAATCAAAGCCTTGAGACGTTTTGCTTTAGCCTCGCCTCAAGGTGAGCATCAAGGCAGGCCTCAGTAATGCCTTTTAAAGGTAATAAAAGATAAATAAAATTGTACAATAGACTATTGAGCTACAAAAAGTAGAGGTGCGCAAATGAATAGATGAACTTGCAAAATGAACCAATCAGGTTTTCATAGTTGGGTTGGTTCGTTATGGGACTATTTGGTTCTGGATCCAAAACATCCCATAATTGACGTGGTCGTTTCAGTTCTTGGTTTAGGGCTCAAGTAATGTGGAACAACTTGAGAACCAACCCCATGTATATATTATATAATATTTATTATAGATATAAATATTCTTGATTTGTCTTGATTACCTTGGCTCTAACCATGTACAAAAATCATTTGCATAGCATGTGTTGTTGACATTATGTTTGAGTATTTGCAAAAATTTTAGTGGACAATTGAAGTGTTATAAAATGCAAGTAGAACTATGGGAGCCTGAAGATTTTCAGTTTTGGTTGGTTAGATTCCGTTCATTAATTGGTTTGGTTCTAGGTTTGGAATTTCCATAACTCACTAGGTTCATTTGGTTTGATTCCGTTCATTCATTGGTTTGGTTCTAGGTTTGGAATTTCCATAACTCACTAGGTTCATTTGGTTTTGGGTCTAGCACTAACCCAACTGAACCCCATCCAACCAACCCATGCTCAACCCTACTAAAATTTTTAAGCGGAGACTTAAAATTCAAATTAGAAATTATTAGATGAAGTCTCAAGTATATTGTTTCTATATATTTATTGGATGTCTCTTTAACTTAATTTCAAAGAGTTTGACCATGTATTTTGCATACTTTATGGTTAGGGATTTCTAAACATTTTAGTGGGCAACCAAGTATTTAATTCAAGTAGAACTGTTGGTCAACATGAAGCAAACCTGAGTTTTTAGTTTTGGGTGGAATGAGTTCCATTCAGTGTTTGATTCTCGGTCTGGTACTAACCCATTTGAATCGAAATTATTAAATGAAGTTTCGAGTACTAGCATACAAAATTTTAGATTTGCCATTTTATTATTAACATGCCCGACTTTGTTCTCCGCCACATTATGAGAAAGCTTGCCGTCAATGTAGTATTCTA